TCGAATGTTGCGAATTTCATTTATACGATTCCCCTGGTGAACATCCGTTTTTCTCCCCATAGCAAATTTCCCATTTGTGATATAACGATAGAAACCGCAGAAGTTTCGTTCGAATTCGGTATTGTCTTTGATAGTTTATTTTTATACTTTTGTAGGTTGCATCTGCCGCATTTATCGCGATTTATTTGAGACTATTCGTATAGTGCAATACGAACGGGATATTTGTGAATTACAAAAAGAAAAAGAAAAAATAAAGAGAAACCGAATTGCACTCGTGATCACTGTCACAAGAATCGTTTCATTTATGACTGTTTGTAGTTACGGAAATCCAACGTACACGAATATTGTAAATCGTAAAACAGGTTCTTGAAATAAATCCGAATAATATGTATGATATTATGTCTGTTGTATTTTACGAAGGAATTTTTTGGATATTTCAATATAGTTTGAGGAGGACACAGACTTTATCGTCCCTTTGAACTAAACGATAAAATGACACGTACAAATGTAAACCGGGTAATTTATAAAAAAGAATAGTAGTAGATGTTAGAAGGATTTTGATTTTTAAAGTCTTTAGAAATTGTTGAAGGAACATTTTAATCTGGTACTGATTTAACAACTGTATTATTATCGAAAGAGTTTAATAATTCAAATAAAAGAAGTGTGTATCTTGAAGTACTCTCATTGGATTTTTAAGATTAAGGTTTAAAGTCGTATTCATTTCATAGTTTTATATCTAATAAAATAGATTGATCTTGAAAATAATAGGAATGATCATTGAAAAAGGTCGTGATCACCAGGTTTCTTATTTTTAGAATGAAAATGAACATTTAGATTTTGTTTTTCAAAATGATCATTTTTTCATAACACTTCCTACATTCAATATAATTTCTTTTAAATTATTTTTATATTATATTCAAAAGATAAAAAATATTTTACAATTATTTTATTATTTTGTTATTTGTATATGATATAATGCTTTATCCTTATCAGAGATTGAAACTGGTGCTCCTGACATCATATCACGACCTTCTGAAGTTTTTGGAAATGCTATTACACTTTTTATACTCTCTGTATTGCACAGCAAGGACATTAAACGGTCCAATCCTTGAAAAAGAATTAAGTTTTAAATAGTAATTGGATTAATTCATTGTTTATTCGATATTGTAAGTGAAAATACCTATGGCGATTCCACCATGGGGAGGTGCACCACACTCCAAGGCATCAAGCATATGTTCCAATAATGACTCATCTATATTTAACATTTTTAATATTTGTCTTTGCAAAGACGGTTCGTGAATTCGTATCGATCCTCCTGCAATCTCACAGCCATTTATAACCAAGTCGTAATGCAACCCTCTTACCTGTAATTACATGATTATTTTACTTAATCTTAAATGCATCGTGATAGTGATTACATTATTAAATAATAAAAGTACTCTTGTTGGATCTTCAGAAAGATACTGAATATCATCTGGATGAGGTTGCGAGAATGGATGATGTGTAGCTTCTAGTTCATTTGTCTCATCATTAATTGAAAATAATGGGAAATCAGTGATCCATAACATTTCATTGCCAGGAGTTCGAATTGTTTGCCCTGAGCTCTCTAATATATTCGTGAATTGCACACGTACTCTTCCTAATAGTGTTTGCTACAAATTTACAAACCAAATTAGTATATTCGTGAAAACTGTGCAATTTGTAATTTGAAACTTACCGTGATAGACTTCTCCCCGCAAGCTAAGAACAAAACATCCCCATCCTTTAAATTTAGTTTTTCCCTCATATTTCCTTCTACAAAAGTGGAATAAATTTTATTTGATGCTGCTGCTGATGATTTCTGAAGTATTTTTAATTGAATTAATTTTGCAGAACCACATTCGCACTGTAGTTTGGAGATAGATTCTCTGGTAGATTTTGTAAGAAAATTCTAGAATGAAGATGAAGAAACACATAAAGAAAATACTGCATACAAAAATAGATGGATTTATACAGAGACATAAATTTGTTTACAAACATACATGTTGATTGGGAAAAACTAAAGCATAAATTTCAAGATTCTCATTCCACTTTATTTTTAAGGTCTCTTCCATTATAGAAGGGTCAACTGCATTTGTAAGCCTACAAAGCTAAAATATTGGTATCATTAACTTCAATAATAAATAAAACAATTTTCAATGACATATACAAATCTTACTTGATATGGTATCCTTAAATCTGGCCGGTCTGAACCGTACAGTTCCATTGCTTCATTAAATTTGAGTCGTTTAAAAGGACTGGCTATAGGTTCTGCTTCTTCAGGCCAAGAATACATTAATAAATTCTCAATTAATTCTATTATCCCATTGCAATCAACAAATGACATTTCTAAATCTAGCTGTAAAAAAATGTATTTATAAATTATAGCTTGTTCGTATTGTTATACATTTACAAGAAAATACACACCTGCGAAAATTCAGGTTGCCTATCGTGTCTGGCAGTTTCATCTCTGTAACATCTAGCAACCTGAAAATATCTGTCAAATCCGCCAATCATTAATAATTGCTTAAACTGTTGAGGACTCTGGGTTAGAGAATAAAACTGTCCTGAATGTTGTGTCGGAACAATGAATTCTTGGGCTCCCTATATATACATTTAATAAATTCTAATATATAGTTATTCATAGAAATGATCACCTATTACAACATATGTATTGGGTTGATGCAAAAGTTTTGACATTTTTTTTGTAAGAAATAAAAAATATTCTTAACCATTCACTGGTTAAACTAAAATTAAGTAGAAACGAAGAAATAAGTGTCCTTTACGCATGTTATAATAGTTTAAAAACAGATGTATGTTTCAAAAAAACAAATGTGTCTGTTATTCATATGCAAAAAACATCAAAATTTGTGGGCATCAACCCAATATTATTTCAACATACATACTCCAGGAGTACATTTAAATAATGTTGGCGTTTCTATGTCCACGAAATTACATTCTTTAATTAAGTATTCTCTCATCTTTCCTATAACTTGAGAACGTAATCTTAGATTCTTTTGCAATTCGGGATATCTCAGAGCCAAATATCTGTGTTTCATTTGCGTACTTTCCTTTGCTTTGGTGGATTTTGCAATAGAAAATGGAAGATCTGGTTTTGCTAAATTCAAAATTTCCAAGGATTCTATATGCACTTCAATATCTCCAGTTTTCAAGTTTTTATTCTTTTGTCCCTCTGGTCTCTCGTACACTGTACCCACTATATTTAATACACTTTCAAGAAACAGACTACTAACCAGCTCTTTCAAGTCATTTCTCTAAAATAAAAATCAATTCTTACATTACTGTGTCATATTTGTTATTAATGGATTACATATGTTAAATTACATTATTTGGTATTATGAATTGTGTAAGACCATAAGCATCTCTTAATATTATAAATTTGTCCATTCTTAGATATGATATCCACCCGCATAGCTGAACATTCTCTCCCACATTTTGAATGTTTAATTCACCACACGTATGAGTCCTTGAAACAAATTTGTTAACAGGTTGTACATATTGTTTTGTCAGGTCTTGTTTTGTAATAGCCAAATCATGAGTGCAAGCTATTAAGATGGAACAATATTTTTTCATAAACTGAAATAAAATTGAACATGTTATTTATGAGTTATCATGCATATATTTTTTACAAATGAAACTTACATTATGTTTATGTAATTTGTTTTTACAAAATAACTTGAGGAACTGATTGCCTAGTATGATGGAACTCCGAAATTTAAACATTATAATAAATTATATTATAATAAGATAATTGTGTTTATGATTTATAAATATGATGCTGTGATGAATTCTAATATTAAATTTGTATGCGAAGTAAGTAAATTGGTATCATAGTAATCATAATAGTTTACATCAAAAACAAAGATATATTGACACTGTGCATGTACTTAATTACCCCTGTCCAATTAAATATTTCAATTGCACATATATTACATCATTATGTTTGTAACTTATCTAATTGTAGATATAAGTATTTATTGATAAACTATTAGTATGTATATACTATTAACGTCACACAAAATTCTTATAGCAACGAAACTCCGGAGTTCTTTAAAACCGACTTCTAACGTGTATGCGTACGGAAAATGTGTTTCATGAATTACGAGTATTTTTTAACTCTGTATTTTAGTTGGTCACCCTGATTACAAAAGCTTTGCCGAAGATTTGTTTGGCGTGAATGTTTGGTGTTTGGATATACGTCAAACTGATAAAAAATGGTATACTTAAGAATTATTAAATAAAGAAGGTATTGAGATAGCTCATTTTATATTTATTACAATAGTTAATGTTATTTTTCAGTTACCATTGTCGTTATTAAAGACAGCGCAAAATCATCCCATGGTATGTTTTTATCGTATATGAAAAAGAAATATATTTTCAACACGTATACCTATTTAAGTAATGGAATATAATATTTTACAGCTTGTTGAACTAAAAAATGGAGAAACATATAATGGACATTTAGTTAGTTCCGATAGTTGGATGAACATAAATCTCAGAGAGGTTATATGTACATCTAGGGTATAGTATCATTATTTTTGAAATTAATAATATTATACTTAGAAAGACAAAATATGCAATTTAAATACGATTAATTCAAGATGGTTATGTTTAAATTTTTTATAAGTATTTGTAATAGAAGTTCTACATATAACAAATTTTAATTAAAATTCTAACTTCCGATAAATTTTGTTTGTACATAAACTAAATAATATAAATTAATTATTCGTGGAAGTGCAATTCTTTCTATGTTTGAGAAAATTCATGAACACCTTACAAGTGATCACTTCATTAAACTGTTTATATCGGATCTAGGATGGTGATAAATTTTGGAGGATGCCAGAATGTTATATTAGGGGGACTACAATTAAATATTTACGAATACCCGATGAAGTTATAGACATGGTAAAAGAAGATGTGCAAATGAAATCACGAGGACGAGGAGAAATGAAAGGCAGAGGACAAAATCAAAGAGGACGTGGTAGTGGAAGAGGTACTCCCCATCTCACATAGAAATATTCATAAATAAAATGCGTAATTCTTTTGAGTTGTATGAATATTGTTGTTTCATTATTTTTTTAGGTACTTTTGGCCGTGGTGGAAGAGGTCCAGCACCTCTTGGTCGAGGTGGTGGTAATCCAGGAGGAAATAAACCACAGAATAAGGCAAGAACTAAATAAATCTAAATAATGTTATTATTTTAGACTAATTTAGTTAATTAATAGATATATTTTCTTGTATTTTATTTTTACATTTCTAAAAAAAATACAAATCTATTGTGAACTGCATTATTATCTCTTGAATTGGCACTTTGATTTTCATAATTTTGAAATGTATTATTGGAGACATGATTTTGAACAATTTTTTCCTTTACATGGAAATAATCATGAAAAACTTTTGCTATTACTACACTGAATTCTGTATTCATGAGCGCGTCACTTCCTGACAAGAGAGAGAGGGAATATAATCTTGGCAATTTTATAGTACATGCGTCTCCCCTCCTTCCATACCAATATCTATTATTTAAATGTAATTCATTTCTATATATTATACGGATCAACATTAAAAACTGTCACTACTGAGTAGAGAACTGATAAAACTTTTGTAGAGGACAGTATCCATGTGTAACCTGAGGAGCTCGAGGAGACCAGTGTGACTATGAAAGCCTTCTATTGACAACATATACAGGAAAAAGTTGTTCAAAATCATGTCCCCAACAACATACTTGAAAATCATCAAAATTAGAGCAGGCGTAGCACATCAACAACTTGACCTTTAAATTTAATGATCATCTGTACGTCATAGATACATTACCGACATGTGAAGATACAAAATAGATTAGGAATGAATTGTTTCAAAGATTTTTATATTTATAAAAATTAAATTAGATTTGTACATTAAAAGTTGTGTTGATATACATACGTACTTCGATGAAATGCATGTGACGGACACTTTCATAAAATTATGTATTCTATTTGTTAATAAATGTTAATGATCTTCCTACATTGAAGTTCTAAAAAATTTTACATGTATTTCAAATATCAACCTTAATATATACTGTTACCGTATAACGATACTCTATTAGTAATATTCCAGAATAAAGTATATAATAAATTCTAGTCTTCGTAAAAAAAAATTTATTTCATTTACACATACTACAGGACAAAACGTATACTCCTTAATTCTATTATACACAATTCTTATCCGCTAATTGTGGAATTCAAATTAACTAGTATTTTACAGTAATAACATGAATTATTTATTGTAGCTTTAAAAGAATAATAATTCAGCCATTATAATTCACTTTTGCGTCAATCGTTCTTGAAGTTTGTCAGATGAATGAAAAGAGATTTGCATATAGATACAAAATATGATTTATATGCTCAACATGAATACACAATGATAAGTGTATTGAATGAATGTTTTTTCATAATCTGGAACAAAAAGAAAGGTATTGAGATGTCAAAATGAAAAAACTTTACTATAATTTACCTTAGTAATTATATTTACCTTACGTGAGAGGATTTCGAAGTTTATAGTTTGTAAATTGGAATTTAATTTATCGTCCTTCGACTGAAATAAGGAAAAAAATAAATTAGTTGTAGAATTAAAATATTTTCTCTAAATTATTTATGTTTCAACATTCTTCCTATAAAAATAAACTTACTGTACGAAGCCAGATCTATCTCATCCGGTAATTCGGTAATGTTGACGTCGAATCTTTCCTGAACATCATTTAAAATTTTTGCATCACTCTCGTCGCTTACTAAAGTAATAGCAAGACCCTATAAAGATTAATAAATTATTAACATCGAAATAAATCAAAAGATATAGATTATTAGCTACATTAGCTCCATTCACCTTTGTACCAAAACGGCCAGCTCTAGCTACTCTGTGGAGATACGTATCTGAATCTTCAGGCATATCATAATTGAATACTATGTTTACACGTTCAATGTCCATACCACGTCCAAATAAATTCGTGGCTACTAGAATTCGCTAAAAACGTATAGATAAGCTGTTACTCATGAAGTATCACATTTTAATATGATGGATGTAATACTTATCTAGTTGAATAATTGAAAAATAATTAAAGGATATTTACTTTTTGGAAGTCTTTGAATTGTTGATATCTGGATAACCGTTCCTCTTGCGTCATGCCTCTGTGTATTCCAATGGCGGGGAAATTTTGTTCTGTTAAAAGTTGCGCCAAGGCCATACACCTTTGTACAGATTTTACAAAGATAACAACCTATAGAACAATACACGTGTAATTGATTCAATATTTACTCCAGAAATGTGAAAGTTCCGAACGAACAACGAAATTTTCATATATTCCATTGGACAAACCTGATTGAATTCAAGAACATCTAGTAATTCAAACAGCTTCTTATTTTTTTCGTTCTCCTTAAGTTTCACGTAATGCTGTTGTAGACCGTGCAACGTGAGTTTAGCTTCATCATCCACATAGACTTCCATGGGCTACACAAAGAATGTATTTTACAAGATTACCTATTTTACCCTAACAATTCTCATACCGTGATAAGTTTTGTGACTCAATAAAAGGTTTTCTTTTTTGTGTACTCTAACATATTCGAAAACATAATTGTAATCATCTCCGAAGTTAAAACATACTATAAAAAAAAAGAAGTAATAGATGCAGATTATCAGAAAATAGAATCATTAAAATAGAACGAAATACTTTTGAGACAATAAAATTATGTATCTACATAAACAATAATATATATATATACACATATAAAAAAAACAACAAATGAATCAGATGATGCGAAGATGTAAACATTAATTTTGTTAATGTCCCAATTTCTCCCGCTTCCTTGATAATGACCATTTTTTTTGTCAATAACTATAAAAGAAAATGTATTAGACACACTTCAGAGAACTTTCCGCTCGAGCTCTCATTTTTTCAATTATTTTGTCGATCGGATTATCATTACTGGTTACATACGGTCCGGCGACTTCCACCTCTGGGTAGTGCCAACAATGAAAACTCAGCAGTCACCCCAACAGAAATAAGATGGCGCACCCATGAATGTTCTTTGTCACATCCGCTGGCCACTCGATGCTAAACCTCTTCTCCCAAAATTCTGGCGCATTCAGAATGTATGCCCAAAATTTGCCACGATTATTGTTGGTACGCCCGATATATCACAAAACTTTAAGGCTTCTGGGATTCTCTAACATCGCGACTTAATTAGCTCATGATTTGTGATACACGAACTGATTAATGCATTTGCTTTTTCACATACAGATGACCACGATCAAACTATGCATTTTTTTTTTTAACACTTCCATTGCTGTCCAATTTCACTCCTATTACTCGAATTACGGACCTCCGACAAGCTTTTTGTAAAGGATCAAAATGTGTCGCTTTCAATTACAATACATGAAACGCTAATTAATTTCTAGAGACATATATATAGATGCCACTTAATATGCCATCAACACTGGTAAATTCCTCAATCCTAGCTAACCCCGGGTTCCCCTTAATCCTCTTGCATCTTCTTTCTTGCGCTCTTCTGTCTTCAGGTTGTCTTGAAGTCTTCTTAGCCCCCCACCCAATTCGAAAAGTACTTTCAATGCTGTGCTCTAACGCATTTCAAAAATCTACTACCCCTCCCTCGCACCTGCCACGATTATTGAATATTACAAACAATTGAAATTCGTTTTTCACCCTAACCCAATCCCAATAAACATGATGTTCTTCCCAAACATTTTGCACGACATTACATTGAACTTTTTGGCAATTTCATAATGCAGCAGACAATAAAAAGATTTGAACATCGAAGATTGGAACTAAATGAAATCATTTTTTTTGTAATATTCCCAACGTCATCTTCAGTTTGAGAAACGACACTAACTGAAGATTCTCATTTCCATTTCACGAGCAGATCTCGTCCAGTAAACGGAGGAAACCTTTGGAGCAGTAACTCTTTTACGTTTAACTCGTAGAACTTGACTTTGCAAAATCCAAAGACATTGAGGGGCTTATTTTCGTTATTGAACTCTGTGTCACTCCTTCAAAGTGTTGTCTAACTAGCCTAACCCGCGGGTGCGCCGTCAACGATATTTAGAGTACGGTCAGAGATTTGTCCTGGGTATGAATACAGGGCCAACGAAGTAGGAGCAATCGAAGATCGAAGTGAAGAGGAAGATTGGTTAATTACATCTTGCATAAATTTTTTGCAGACAGGACGTATTTCCTTGGATAACGTAGCGCTGAACATCATGACTTGCTTGCCGTGCGGTGTGCTTCTAAATATTTCCTGTACATCCCTACGCATGTCTGTAAAGATAAATTCAAAATGAATTTATATTTTGACATTTTTCATAAAGCGAATTATTATTAGAGGGAAAAAAGAAGGTGCATTAAATTTATAATTACCTAGGAGTTCAAGCATTTTGTCACATTCATCGAGTATAAAATGTTTTAGGTGCTTCAAGTTTAATTTCTTATTTCGTACAAGAGCGAGAATACGACCGGGAGTACCGACAACGATATGAGGACACGTGTTCTTCAAAACTTCTTCATCTTTTTGAATTGGCAAGCCACCGAAAAATACTCCTACCTGTAATTCCATAAAAGAACATTTCATTGTACAAGTACTGAACTTTCAAGTATTTTTCAGTTATTACAAGTAATAAAAATCTTCTTCAGTGGTGAGTGGTAGTAATGAAGGTGTCATCATTATTTACTAAGATAGTTATTTCATCATATGAAGATTCTTTAATATGAACTTAATTGAAATACTATAATACAACTCGTTGATACATGTGTAAAGCTTACCTTTACATGAGGCATATATTTGCTAAATCTCTCATATTCTTTGCTTATTTGGAAAGCAAGTTCTCTTGTGTGACACATGACGAGAACATAGACTTGGTTTTCAGTCAATTCTAATTGTTGCAATGTAGCTAACACAAATACTGCAGTTTTTCCCATACCAGATTTTGCTTGGCATAATATGTCCATGCCAAGCACTGCTTGAGGAATACATTCGTGTTGAACTGTAAAAAATGTTATATGTAATTAATTGAGTTCTTTTTTAAGGGAAACATTCTATATGTTTATGTAATGCATCAGTGGTGTATATTTATACGATATGGATCATTCATTTGAAATCAGTTGTCCCTATCTATTATCATCATTCTATTTATTAAATACGTACTAAACACACAGCAGGAACATTGCGGGTGAAATATTAAAAAATTAATTATTAATATTTTAAACAGTTTAGAAACAAATTTAAGTGATACTGTTGCATGATTCACTCTGTGTGCTTTGAAATAAAATATTATATTTACAAATATAGTTACCTTCAGAAGGATGCTCAAAACCGCAATCCACAATTGCTCGTAATATTTCAGGTTTAAGAAGGAAATCCCTGAACCCGCTACTGTGGATAGATACATATGTGCCTTTAACTTCCTTCTTAGCGGGAATATCCCCACTTCCATCAACTACTTGTTCAGTCTGTTCCTCGTCTTCATAATCCAAAAGATCATCATTATCCGCCATTTTTATGGGTATGTATGTATTGAATTGCACCTGAAATATTTAATATGATATTCTAAAAACTCTTTACATGATCAACATATTTCTTTAATCATTTCACAGCCACAAGTCTTCGCAAAAATCGCGCTTCTTTCGTTTCAGCTCAAAAATTGAATAACGCTTTTCTACTTTTAAATAAACACATAAATGTGCGCAATCGATCCATTTCCTCATTTCTAAGCAGGTAATAAAAAAGATAAAAATAAATAACTAAAAAGAAAGCAAATAAACTCAATTAACCCTACGAACCAATAGACTGGCACTTTCAAGTAATATAATGAAGAAGCGTGATTACGCAGCTTGGCATTAAAACGGTTAAAGTAAAAATCATTTCCTTCAAATCGGTATTATATTTCGAATAAACTATACGTAATTTTAAAAAATAATATATATACATTAATATCTGTATCGCATTTTTAATATGTGATAAAACATTTCAGACATTATTTATGCAGTTGGACTAAGTTCTTTTAGGTTCTAAACAATAAAATTAGGTATATCCGAAGTAAAATATTAACACGAGCATCAATTATTCTTATATCTTTTCTTCATAAATAAAAAATTTCTTTAAATGCAAGAAATAAATTAACAAAGCGCTTGTCTGGAATGATAACGATTTTTGTAGGAACTATACACGTAATGTAACCGCCATTTTAGCGACGCTATGCTGTTCACCGCTAGACCGAGTAAATATAACGAAAATAAGTGAAATACTAACAATTTTCACGTTCTATTACAGCTTCGATGTATAAATTTGAATAGAAGAAATATATGTAAACTTAAAATTTTAACTTATATTATTCATAAATCCCAAATATGATCGCGTATTGTATAACGTTGCACGTCTACAAAACAAACACTTGTGTATCATTTAATTCGAAGAATGTAACAAAGCGGGTAACGAAACTATTAATTCCTATTGAAACTTCAATATATTTCACATGCAAATAAATATTTCTTTGAGTCGGATCGATTTTTAATAAATGATAAAAAATGGATTACACGCGATTCATTACACTTACCTCTGAACGCTACTTCGACAAACTGACGCTATCGATATAAGCACCACGTTCACTTCACATATGTAACTAATTCCGGAAGACTGGTGCTGCCACCTGTTAAATGATATACCAAAGAAATACAAAATAAATCTATTATAAAATACTGTAAAATGTATATTTCTTTCACGTAATTTAATCCAGCAAATTATATTATAATTTTAGTTAATAATTATCACGAATGAAAGAAAGTACGAGAATGAATAAATCATTAATAATGAGCTTGGCGCGATTATGAAGTATCCCGGATATGATATTTTGGCTACTTATAAGGAATTGGCGGTTTTTTAAAATTAAAATTGAAAATTAACTTTCAATCAGAGAACATGTGACAAAATTTACATTGTTTGTTATATCTATCCTATACCTCGTCTGTGCTTATACTTACTCCATACCGTTATTGTCGCATTAAAAAATAAATTTATTAAGATAGTTAATAAAAGTCACACAAGATTTTTATACCGGACAAAATTCCGAGGAACCATTTTCTATATGCATATATTACGGAAATTTCCGATCTCATATTCTATGCTAATTTACTATTCGTCAATATGATTACACATAACCAATCAAAATCATAAATAAAATCGTTAGTGAAGGATCCTTCTTCCCCTGTGCCAATCTGTTCATCATGTGAACAGCACCAAATAATTGCAGAATTTTGTAATAACAAAAACAGTGTGCAAAAAAGTGGTAATACCGTTTCATAATTATGTATTAACCCTTTGGCTACTGGTATATATTC